CCTTGGAGGGGGAGGGGGTCAAACAAACATGTGGACAAGTGGTCGCTAGAAGACACAGTTCACTTAGGTTTCCAGAAAGTCTTCGACAAGGTCCTCCCCAAAGGCTCTTAAGTCATGTAGAGTTATGGGATAAGAAAGAAGGTCTTCTCATGGACTGATAACTGGGTTAAAGAGAAAGGAAATCAAGGGTAGGAATAATTGGTATGTTTCCAGAATGGAAAGAGGAGCTGTATGCCCCATGGGTCTGTACTGGGACTAATGATATTCAACCTGTTTATAAATGTTCTGAAGAAAGGGGTAAACCGTGAGGTGCCAAAATTGGCAGGTGATAAACTGTTCAAGATAGTTAAGAACAAAGCAGACAGCAAAATGCTTCAAAGATGTCTCAAAACTAACTGATGGGGCAATAAAATGACAAATGAAAGTTAATGTCGATAAATGTTAAGTAATGCATTCATTCCACGTGCGGCAGCAGTCAAATTAGCACGGAGAATATTAAGAATTCTTTAAAAAGGAATAGACGAAAGGGCAGAGAATCTCTTACCACCTCAGTATAAAACCATGGCTAGCCTACAACTCAAATATTGAGCAGAGACGTGGAGTCCTCATCTCTGAGAAGATAAATTGTCTTTGGAAAACTTTCAGAAAAGGGCACCAGAAATAATGAAGCATTTGGAACAGGTCCCATATGAAAAGTGATTAAAAAGCCTGGAACTGGGACTTTTCAGCTTGGAAAAGAGGAGACTAAGGGGGGATATGATAGAGATATATAATATCATGAGTGGTGTGGAGAAAGTGAATAAAGAAAAGTTATTTATTTGTTCTCATAATATAAGAACTAGGGTCCACCAAATGAAATTAATGGGCAGCAGGTTTAAAACAAATAAAAGGAAGTTCTTCTTTACACAGCGCACAGTCAACTTGTGGAACTCCTTGCCTGAGGAGGTTGTGAAGGCTAGCAGTATAACAGGGTTTAAAAGAGAACTAGATAAATTCATGGAGTTTAAGTCCATTAATGGCTATTAGCCAGGATGGGTAAGGAACAGTGTCTATAACACAGCGCACAGTCAACTTGTGGAACTCCTTGCCTGAGGAGGTTGTGAAGGCTAGCAGTATAACAGGGTTTAAAAGAGAACTAGATAAATTCATGGAGTTTAAGTCCATTAATGGCTATTAGCCAGGATGGGTAAGGAACAGTGTCTATAACCTCTGTTTGTCAGAGAGTGGAGATGGATGGCAGGAGAGAGATCGTTTGATCATTACCTGTTCCGTTCACTCCCTCTGGGGCACCTGGCATTGGCCACTGTCGGCAGACAGGATACTGGGCTGGATGGACCTTTGGTCTGACCCAATATGGCCATTCTTATGTTCTTATGGCTACGTCTACACTACAATGTTTACCAGAAGAGGCAATGCAAAGGAAGCACGAATTAGCATTTTCTTGCACTTCATTTGCATAATCTCTTCCAATCTGTTTTTGTGCAAGGGGTTTTTGTGCAAAAACAAGCAGTGTGGACGTTTCCTTTTTGTGAAAAAACCTCCTTTTGCACAAGATTGTTATACCTCCTTTTTTGAGACATAAGGATTTGCATTGCCTCTTCCGGCAAACATCGTAGTGTAGATGTAGCCTATGACTGCTTCTGGTATTTCTGATAATTATGTGAAAACCAAGAAATTATCATTTGTTGAAATAATTGTTTTTTATTAATGCTATGAGCTTTAATTAATATGTAGAATAGCATTGGTCCAGTGATCAGGGCACTTATCTGAGATGTAACCAACCCTGCTTCAAGTCCCTACTTTGCCGGATTTTTAGTAGTTTTTCCACATCCCAGGGGAGTACCCTTGGATATTCTGATGTGGGCCTCTTGTTCTGCCTCATTTTGACCAGAAATCCCATCCTGAACCTGAGAATCCTTCCAGGTGATAGTTTTGTCTAAACTGACACGTTTCTGCAAATCAGCATTTTCTGACCCCCCCAAAAAAATTTTTTTGTTAAACTTCCAACCATCTGTACATGTCTCTCTCTCTCTCTCTCTCTCTCTCTAAATTTCCTGCGGAATGACAGAGTGACATCATCACATCATTCTCCATTGCCACGCCCCACCTCCAACCCCAGAACATGCTCCCCCCCCCCCAGAAACACCCCCCAAC